TTGGCCAACAAAGCAAGACTAAACAAGGCTTGGTACGCATTAGTACGTGAAAGAGATCGGTAGGAGGGTCAGAGGAAGAGCAAGGTCGGGGCCCAAAGCAGCGGGTGCTACAAAGCCCGTTCTTCCAACACAATCCAACTCGGGGGCTTGGTCGCCCACCCCACGAACCCAAGAAGGTACAAGAGGAACAGTATTTAACATATAAACGAGAGGAAATACTTTCATTCACGAATGTGCCCCCACACCCACCATGGCGCCACAATTAGAGGATAGGACACCCAACAAGAAACAAGTTGCCGGTCTTGCCGGGGCCTCATAGGGGTGCGTCGTGAGTATACGCCCCACAATCGCCACCTTAAGAACCGTCAAGATCAGGTTCAGCGACAAAAGGAAAATTGACAATAAAAGCGTCCCCTCGCTCGAGACGTTGGATACCAGAGTTCTACGGGTGAGAGAGTATGCCTCCCCCAAACACCCGGGGTCAAAACAGGAGGCCAAAAGAATAATAAAAAACTGGCAAAAGGTCGGCGGGAAATGACTATGCGAAAGGAGAAGGGGGGGGGAGAAAAACAAAACATAAGGAAAAGAAAAAGTCATCCGGCATAATTCGAGAAGACAGCAGCAGGAGCATAAGACTACAAAAGGACAGAGGACTGTCCCATGGAGCATCACACTCCAGCAACCGCCCACTAAGCCCCTTCACGGCAACAACGGCCAGGATAGGGAGGGGACCGCCTATATAAGCAGCTTGCCACCGGCCAGTCTTCAGAATACCCTTCGTGCTCTCAATGCCATAACATGTACTGTAGCCTTCCCAGGAAACAGTAGATGCGTACAGCTTCTTGTATATTGTATTCAGTTTTGCACCTTTCTTTGCCATTAACGTAACTGTCACCTGTTCATATTTCATTTGTATTGTGTAATGCCAAGTAGAAAAGAAGAATTGTTTTATTTGTTGTTAAAAGTCATTTTTGTTATATTAAATATTTAAAGTTTTTCACTCTTGGAATTTACCCGCAGCTCTCACACCGTAAAGAGGTCACCAGCAGTCTTATTTTTTTTTTTTTTTTTTTTTTTTTTTATGTGATTGAGTTTTACATTCTTACTACTAGCCAGAATAGCCACTGCTCTATTCTTTCAGAATAACGTCACAATACCAATCCTTTATTATATGCTATTGTGAGAGCAGAGTGTCATAAAAATGATTTCATTTGACACTTGGGTTTGTAGAGTAGTTATGAAAATGTGTTGGAAAAAAAACTCCCCCTTTCTATTTAGGCTGCAATAACGAAGCTTGGAAAATTTGCAGCACTTTTCGTATACAACTAGTCAAAAAAGTTTGATTGAAATTGAAGAACTTTTAATACCCTAAAAGAATCGCCTGTCCATAGATTCGTTATTAGATCTACAACAAAAATTATCACTTTCTAATAGCGGTATAACCTCAATTATTATAATTAACTCTTACAACTAAAGTGGCAGGGTTTATAATGTTACTGTGAGCGTGTAACAAGAGAACACACAGCCTGGTCAAGCTCAACATGTTTAACTGTTGCCGTTGACTTAACAAAATTGTGAGGCGGAGAACATAGCAGCTGCTCAACGGGGGGAGAGACACTTCAGCGACGCATGTGTGGTGGGGGGAAGGGGAGTCTGTTTTGATTTTGTAAGAACTATGAGTATGGTTGAGAGGTAAGCCAGCCGGTAGGGAGCCTCAGCGTCAAGAGTCTCTCCTCCCTCACACTTCAGCGTCAAAGTAATAACTAAATATTTTATTTGTTCATTGAAAGCTCTAGGCTCTATTTATAACTCTGAAGTAATACTATTAATTCGATTGCCTATGTACTTGTTAATTTCTTTGTGTTAATTTAAAAAACATGCTAGACGATGCTCGAAATGCTATGCGTAATAGTGGCTTTAGGTATTGTATGTAATATCTCTATCTTTAAATCCATCACTATGTAACTCAATGGATGTACATTTACCTGAATAAAACAATCGAAATCTAGAAACAACTTCAGTGTCATAATTGTGTAGTGTGTGACACAAGAGCCGGGCCGACGCCACCCCACCTGCGGCGGCCCTACAGTACTGCGCACTTACCAATTTTTAATATATTAATTATTTGTGAACATAAAAGAAGTTTCACATAGAATTCCAATTTAATATTGACAATTTAAATGTTACTTTTTAATTGTTTTCACGTAACCTTTCATGTGAATATTATTTCCCACAGTATGTCCTAACGCTCAATCATTTAAATAAAATTAAGAAAAAATTATTGGCCGCCTAAAGATATCTTCTTTAAAAATTGTTTTCAATCATTTTTTCTCCATTAGAACGCAGGTTTTTTTTAGACGATTACCGCCAATTTGAACCCTCGCTCTCAAAAGGGCTCACCCCGGCCCTAGAGTGTAGGTGGTGAAAGATCTGTAGATGTAGCCTGGTGTGTGTAAAGGGTGAGATGTAGCCTGGTGTGTGTAAAGGGTGAGATGTAGCCTGGTGTGTGTGTAAAGGGTGAGATGTAGCCTGGTGTGTGTGTAAAGGGTGAGTTGTAGCCTGGTGTGTGTGTAAAGGGTGAGTTGTAGCCTGGTGTGTGTGTAAAGGGTGAGATGTAGCCTGGTGTGTGTAAAGGGTGAGATGTAGCCTGGTGTGTGTAAAGGGTGAGATGTAGCCTGGTGTGTGTAAAGGGTGAGATGTAGCCTGGTGTGTGTAAAGGGTGAGATGTAGCCTGGTGTGTGTAAAGGGTGAGATGTAGCCTGGTGTGTGTAAAGGGTGAGATGTAGCCTGGTGTGTGTAAAGGGTGAGATGTAGCCTGGTGTGTGTAAAGGGTGAGATGTAGCCTGGTGTGTGTAAAGGGTGAGATGTAGCCTGGTGTGTGTAAAGGGTGAGATGTAGCCTGTTGTGTGTAAAGGGGGAGATGTAGCCTGGTGTGTGTAAAGGGGGAGATGTAGCCTGGTGTGTGTAAAGGGTGAGTTGTAGCCTGTTGTGTGTAAAGGGTGAGATGTAGCCTGTTGTGTGTAAAGGGGGAGATGTAGCCTGTTGTGTGTAAAGGGTGAGATGTAGCCTGGTGTGTGTAAAGGGGGAGATGTAGCCTGGTGTGTGTAAAGGGTGAGTTGTAGCCTGTTGTGTGTAAAGGGTGAGATGTAGCCTGGTGTGTGTAAAGGGTGAGTTGTAGCCTGTTGTGTGTAAAGGGTGAGATGTAGCCTGGTGTGTGTAAAGGGTGAGATGTAGCCTGGTGTGTGTAAAGGGGGAGATGTAGCCTGGTGTGTGTGTAAAGGGTGAGTTGTAGCCTGTTGTGTGTAAAGGGTGAGATGTAGCCTGGTGTGTGTAAAGGGTGAGTTGTAGCCTGTTGTGTGTAAAGGGGGAGATGTAGCCTGGTGTGTGTAAAGGGGGAGATGTAGCCTGGTGTGTGTGTAAAGGGGGAGATGTAGCCTGGTGTGTGTGTAAAGGGGGAGATGTAGCCTGGTGTGTGTAAAGGGGGAGATGTAGCCTGGTGTGTGTAAAGGGGGAGATGTAGCCTGGTGTGTGTAAAGGGGGAGATGTAGCCTGGTGTGTGTGTAAAGGGGGAGATGTAGCCTAGTGTGTGTAAAGGGGGAGATGTAGCCTGGTGTGTGTAAAGGGGGAGATGTAGCCTGGTGTGTGTGTAAAGGGGGAGATGCAGCCTGGTGTGTGTAAAGGGTGAGATGTAGCCTGGTGTGTGTGTAAAGGGTGAGATGTAGCCTGGTGTGTGTAAAGGGGGAGATGTAGCCTGGTGTGTGTGTAAAGGGTGAGATGTAGCCTAATGTGTGTAAAGGGTGAGTTGCAGCCTGGTGTACAGAGGCGCGAGATGCAGCCTGGTGTACAGAGGCGCGAGATGCAGCCTGGTGTACAGAGGTGAGAGATGCAGCCTGGTGTACAGAGGTGAGAGATGCAGCCTGGTGTACAGAGGCGCGAGATGCAGCCTGGTGTACAGAGGTGAGAGATGCAGCCTGGTGTACAGAGGTGAGAGATGCAGCCTGGTGTACAGAGGTGAGAGATGCAGCCTGGCGTACAGAGGTGAGAGATTCAGCCTGGTGTACAAAGGTGAGAGATGCAGCCTGGTGTACAGAGGTGAGAGATGCAGCCTGGTGTACAGAAGTGAGAGATGCAGCCTGGTGTACAGAGGTGAGAGATGCAGCCTGGTGTATAGAGGTGAGAGATGCAGCCTGGTGTACAGAGGCGCGAGATGCAGCCTGGTGTACAGAGGTGAGAGATGCAGCCTGGCGTACAGAGGTGAGAGATTCAGCCTGGTGTACAAAGGTGAGAGATGCAGCCTGGTGTACAGAGGTGAGAGATGCAGCCTGGTGTACAGAAGTGAGAGATGCAGCCTGGTGTACAGAGGTGAGAGATGCAGCCTGGTGTATAGAGGTGAGAGATGCAGCCTGGTGTACAGAGGCGCGAGATGCAGCCTGGTGTACAGAGGTGAGAGATGCAGCCTGGTGTACAGAGGTGAGAGATGCAGCCTGGTGTACAGAGGTGAGAGATGCAGCCTGGTGTACAGAGGCGCGAGATGCAGCCTGGTGTACAGAGGTGAGAGATGCAGCCTGGTGTACAGAGGCGCGAGATGCAGCCTGGTGTACAGAGGCGCGAGATGCAGCCTGGTGTACAGAGGTGAGAGATGCAGCCTGGTGTACAGAGGCGCGAGATGCAGCCTGGTGTACAGAGGTGAGAGATGCAGCCTGGTGTACAGAGGCGCGAGATGCAGCCTGGTGTACAGAGGTGAGAGATGCAGCCTGGTGTATAGAGGTGAGAGATGCAGCCTGGTGTACAGAGGCGCGAGATGCAGCCTGGTGTACAGAGGTGAGAGATGCAGCCTGGTGTACAGAGGTGAGAGATGCAGCCTGGTGTACAGAGGTGAGAGATGCAGCCTGGTGTACAGAGGTGAGAGATGCAGCCTGGTGTACAGAGGTGAGAGATGCAGCCTGGTGTACAGAGGCGCGAGATGCAGCCTGGCGTACAGAGGTGAGAGAGGGGCTGACCTCAGGGTGGAGCGTGATGTGGTAGCCTTGGATCATGGCGTAAGCTTCCCGGATCACCTCCTCTTCGTGGTTCACACGCACCATCTGTCAACACAAACGCACACCTCGGTTATTATACGTTGTTTCCAGCACATCCGCCTGAAGTGACAGGTACTTATAGTATCTATGTGCTCAATAGTACAAATGTGTCGTGATGGACCAAGAAAAAGTAGACTCGCTCATTATTGAATTTGGACAAATTGGTAATGTTTTTTATCTTTATATTGCTAATACAACCTAACCGTAACGAAACCATTCTAAGCCTAATACACACTATCTGAGACCTTTTTAGTACATATATGTGCTATACTAGCCTAGGAATATTTTGGTTTGCTTTATTTGCTATTTTTCCGGAATAAAATAAAATTGTACCAGAAGTGGCTTACTGGGGCTCCATTACTACAAAGTGGTACTCTCTACCAGTTACAAAAGTACTCTCACTTCAGGAGGAAGGGTCGTGTTCCTCGCTGGGTTACCCACTACAGAGACGCTCGGCACAATTGACGTTGATCAATATTGCTTCCTTTCATGGGAGAAAATAATACAAACGGTATTGGGAACGTTAATAGCAAGAGAAACTTGTTTAGGAAATTAAAAGAAGAATTTTGTCTCGTATTACTTGCAGATTATCCCTACTAATCACACAGTTTCTTATCTCTCTCAATCTATCTTGAGGTTATCTTGAGTTGATTTCGGGGCTTTTTTAGTGTCCCCGCGGCCCGGTCCTCGACCAGGCCTCCACCCCCAGGAAGCAGCCCGTGACAGCTGACTAACACCCAGGTACCTATTTTACTGCTAGGTAACAGGGGCATAGGGTGAAAAACTCTGCCCATTGTTTCTCGCCGGCGCCTGGGATTGAACCCAGGACCACAGGATCACAAGCCCAGCGTGCTGTCCGCTCGGCCGACCGGCTCCCGAATGTGTATCTAATGTACACATTCATAACCTTCCGTTCCTGTTGCGTCTTCTATAATATGTTAATACCAATGATCAACGACACTTCTCTTATCATCGTGTTTAACAATTCTCCACTGCAATGAACTCCAGGAAAATACAATTACCTAAGTTTTTTTTTTTTTTTCGAAGAGTGATGTCTGTGAGTGGTGTTCGGGGCAACACAGAAGTAAAGGGAATTTGAAAAATAGCCAAGATAAAACTAACATGCAAAATTATTTTTTTTTATTTATTATTCAAAACAAAGGCAGTGTCAACAACAAAGATAGCCATAAGGAAGGACAACTCCACAGAGGGAAATTTCAAGAGTTTCACTGTGGAAGCTATAATAAAAGGAGGGCTTCTTGGCAGGTTACTGATGAATGAGAATTGCTACAGCTTCATGAAAGGAAATTTCTATAATTTGAACTAGAAAATGAAGGCTCAAGAGTCAGTAGTTTGAAAGGGTTATATGGCAGAGTACTGGGAAGACGGGACACCACAAGCGTAGCTCTCAACCTGTAACTACACTTAGGTCATTACACCATAACCATCTTCAAACTTGGCCAGACTGACCTGATCCTTAACCTCAGAGACGTAGTTGAGGAGAGTAACGACCTGCTGGGCAGTAACGGGGGCCAGTTCCAGTCCCAGCCACTTGTCGTTGGCGTCAGCGAGGAGAGCCCTCACCCGCTGGTCAAACCCCCTGCAACAACCACATATTATATAATATAATAATAAATTATAATTATATAATATATAATAAACCCAGATTACTGGGAAGTTTTCAGAGTCATTCCCCAACTCTCCATTTTCACACTAAACTCCAGGTTATAACAAAAACACCAAAGAAAACAAATGATCAAAGCATCTTACTGGCTAACGTCCTGATGTATGCGCTGCTGCTGCTGACGTAGAGAGGTGACGAGGAGCTTCCTGGCGGCTGTCTGGTCCACCTGCAGTAGACCCAGGCCGACCACCTCCTCCACACCTCGCGCCGCCTCCACCAGCCCTTCCACCTGTGCCAGCCACGATCCCAGCTCACTCAGCTCTGGACGAGGACGAGCGAGGTGCTGTTAGTAGCCTGTCTGTGTTCTCGTGATCAGTCTCTTGATGACACACAGAGATCACACTAACGTGATGCATCAAATGAACAAATCCACAAGGGCAGTGACGAGGATTCGAACCTGCGTCTGGGAGCATCCCAGACACTGCCTTAATCGACTGAGCTACGACAGGGTAAAAGGGTTGAAACCGAAGTTCTACTGAACTTACTGAATCCCGTAGTCTCTCCGAGGCACAAACCAGGCTTTTACACAACACCCCCCCTGCACCCGAGCTATGTCAATAGGCCGTTCTCCCTCTTCGCCCTTACATCATCATCACACAGAGATCACACTAACGTGATGCATCATTCAGTGTCTGGGATGCTCCCAGATGCAGGTTCGAATCCTCGTCACGGCCCTTGTGGATTTGTTCATTTGATGCATCACGTTAGTGTGATCTCTGTGTGTGATGATGTAAGGGCGAAGAGGGAGAACGGCCTATTGACATAGCTCGGGTGCAGGGGGGAGTTGTGTAAAAGCCTGGTTTGTGCCTCGGAGAGACTACGGGATTCAGTAAGTTCAGTAGAACTTCGGTTTCAACCCTTTTACCCTGTCGTAGCTCAGTCGATTAAGGCAGTGTCTGGGATGCTCCCAGACGCAGGTTCGAATCCTCGTCACTGCCCTTGTGGATTTGTTCAGTCTCTTGATGCACTTTTGGTAGTGAGGAAAATAATCGATAATACCTGCTTTATATAGGAAAATACCAAAGAACAGCGTGAAAGTAATAAGATAAGATGATCTTGGTATGTAAGATCAACTTATCTTACATACCAAGAATAGGTTTTTCTCGCCTGTTCACGGTCACTTCGCTGTAACCCGTATTGTACCTGGATACTTAACCCAGATTCAGCTCTGGGAGTTCTACTCCCCAAGTCCGGCCCGAGGCCAGGCTTGACTTGTGAGAGTTTGGTCCACCAGGCTGTTGCTTGGAGCGGCCCGCAGGCCCACATACCCATCACAGCCCGGTTGGTCCGGCACTCCTTGGAGGTAACAATCTAGTTTCCTCTTGAAGATGTTCACGGTTGTTCCGGTAATATTTCTTATACTCGCTGGGAGGACGTTGAACAACCGCGGACCTCTGATGTTTATACAGTGTTCTCTGATTGTGCCTATGGCACCTCTGCTCTTCACTGGTTCTATTCTGCATTTTCTTCCATATCGTTCACTCCAGTACGTTGTCATTTTACTGTGTAGATTTGGGACTTGGCCCTCCAGTATTTTCTACGTGTATATTACTTGATATCTCTCGTCTCCTTTCTAGCGAGTACATTTGGAGAGCTTTCAGACGATCCCAATAATTTAGGTGCTTTATCGTGTCTATGTAGGCCGTATATGTTCTCTGTATCCCTCTATTTCAGCAATCTCTCCAGCTCTGAAGGGGGAAGTGAGTACTGAGCAGTACTCAAGACGGGACAGTACAAGAGCTTTGAATAGTACAACCATTGTGATGGGATCTCTGGATTTGAAAGTTCTCGTAATCCATCCTATCATTTTTCTGGCTGACGCAATATTCACTTGGTTATGCTCGCTGAACGTTAGGTCGTCAGACATTCTCAAATCCTTTTCATGCTGCTTTCCTACTATGGGCAGATTTGATTGTGTTTTGTACCCTGTATTATGTTTAAGGTCCTCATTTTTACCGTACCTGAGTACCTGGAATTTATCACTTAAAAATGTTATTTTCTGCTACCCAATCGAAAACTGTATTAATATCTGCTTGAAGTGTTTCAATGTCTTCAACAGACGTAATTTTCATGCTGATTTTTGTGTCATCTGCTAAGGATGATACGAAGCTGTGACTTCTTTGCCACTGCATATATATTTATTGTTCATTGTTCGTATACTCATGAACTCTGTTTTTGTAACCGCGACATGATGAACACTTCGTGACACGCACCATTAACATCACATGACAACACAAGACTGGACATCAGCGAGGCCGACACGTCAAAACGTTAAGACCAGCAATCAACAACCATTTAACAAAATTACAGTCTACCCACTTCAAGACCCCGAACCAACACAGAGACAGTAGAAGCAAGAACATAAGCCGCTTATGTTCATGCATGTAATAGCCTATTAATATCCATTATACTTCATCCACTTGTTAATCTCAATCACGTCCTGTATCACCTCACCCCAAGCTAATATAAACCTTTGAATAAATCCACACCCAATGTCGCCTCACCAAGTCACACTGGCATAGATGGTAATGACAAGGCAGACTCGCTAGCAAAAACTGCCCCTGCTCTACCAGTTGTACAGGTTCAAATACCTCCAAGTTTCTCGCAGATTAAGGAGCAAATCAAGAAGAAAATACTCCCAAATATCAAAAGTCGCCACAGAGCCAAAGTAGCAGAGGGAAAATTCACTGCGATGTGGTACGAACAAGCCACTGGGTACTACTCTTTCAAGCCTGGCAAAAAGATATCCAGAGACATTGCAGTAGTCATAAACAGACTCAGACTAGGTTACAAGTGCTGCTGGGAGGTAATAAACCCAATAGTTAAAAAGTGTCATATATGTGAAATAGAAGCAGATGCGCCACTAATGCACTATTTACTGGAATGTGAAGCAACTGAAGCCCTGCACATCAAACTCAACATTAATCCAACGACAGCAGCTGCATTAGATGCACATTCCACAGCGACTACAATGATTAGAAAAGCCGTTAATGAATGAGACTCACTAGTGAACATTGTGCACCTACATCCGCCACCAAGATCATGTTATTAAAACGACTAAAACAGAAGCGAAAAAGAAACAGGAAAAAACGGAGGAAACCCCACCTCCATTTAAAACTTTGACCCAAATATCAAAGTAACAAGGTTATCGCTAATAACCGAACTCAATTATGGGGCTCACCATAGCCTGTGCTACATGGACATTTCGTTCTGAATAGCTAAATCGAAAACAATAACAACCACAAATCGCACACTGATTTCCTTATCCACCAGGTAGCACAAAGGAGGCGCTCTTTTCTTTGCCAAAGGAAGCCTGCTTTAATCGAGAAACTAAGGTCAAATTCCAAGGAAAAACATCCTCCTCAAAGAGGCAGGAAAATGGGACTCCGCAGGGAGGAATACTAAGCCCCTTCCTCGTCAACTGTCTCATGGAACAATTCATGAAACTTAAGTTACCAAAAGCCAAACTTCTTAACTATGCAGACGACTTTGTGGTCATCATCAATGGCAAAGGTGCAAGGAACCATGCACAAAAATGCCTAGATATTATCAGCAGGAAAGCGGAACACATAGCAGTGAAAATAAACAGCAATAAAACCAAAGCAATGGCCGTTAAAATGAGAACTCAAGACATCAGACTCGCAATACAAGGACATGAAATTAAGTGGGTTACCTCTTTTCAATACCTGGGAGTCATAATAGACAGCCAGTTGAAATTCACTCAAGAAATTTAATATCTTTGGCAACGCTGTAAAGCCAGAAACTCAGTTTTGCGCTCCCTGACAAGTCTTAGAGATGGTGCCTCTCTACCAGTACTCAAAATGTACTACGTTCAAGCAGTTAGGTCACTCATTGACTATGCTGCTCCTGCTCTTACACAACCAATGGGAGAAACTGGAAGTGTCTCAAAATGATGCCCTCAGAACAATGCTTGGAGCACTTATATGGACGCGTCGAGAGAATCTAAGAATGGAAACCAACTTACCAGCCTTAGAAAACAGGATCAAACAAAGAATAGCCACCATAACAGCAAAACCTCTTGGAACCACCGCCAGACTGTTAGTCAAAGATAGCATACACAGATCGCTTCACAGAAACCTTCAATATAAAACAAGTGCATAGACGGATAATCTGGTCAAGATTCTAGAGAAAGTCGACTTGAAATTTCACCGAGGCCTTTGACCTGTCATCTTCAATCTGGTGCCCCCAGAAATCACATGAGACAAGCCCATGACATCACCCTCACAAGAGAAATGTTGAATAAAAACACTCGTATAACAGACAAAACCCAAGATGTAAGAAGATTACAAGTTCTTGAAGCAATCTGCAAAAATAGAACCCACCACCATAAGTACCCAAATTACTGAACTATTCACTCACCCACCATGAGAGTAAGAACAAGACCGGAACGTGAAGATGTCAACGTACAAGACACTCCTCAACATGCTACGCCCACTACACCTGATTAATCTTTGTATGTATTTCGTACCCTATTTTGCCTCATTCTTCACACTTTACGCCTTACTCTTCTCTCCTTTATGCTTATTCTTGATCCATTTGTATAGACCTATAAACCCCATTGTTCAATCCATTTGTCTACACCTGACCCCATAATGGTATAAATCCAATATGCCCTGTACTGTCCCATCACTTGAGAATGAACCGTGTAGGTTCGGAACGTTGTGTAATTTTATAATAGGTGTAATACATTCTGCAGTTATTTATTTTTTGTCTTCACCTCGAATGAAGATGACTTTTGGAGACACAGGCTTCCTGTCCACGATGATGCATTTTATGTACTAGCTCTATCTATAAATTTATCAATTTTTGTGTAACCTCTCGTATGTATGTACTTTACCTGAATAAACATTTGAATTTGATTAAAACGAATTGTGTAACCTTATTAGCTAAGGTGACCGTCGCCTGAGAGAGGAACAGGGTGCACACACAATTCATTGTGTCGGGGGACAGGCAGCCACAATGCAGTGTATATATATACATGTTAGGGTTATATCGAGATCCCTCCCCCTATCCCAGGTTGAACTACTGACCCTGCCCAGGATGCAACCCTACAACAAGCCGACCAACTCCTGGGTAATTTACTACTAGGTGAACAGAGGCATTACGTGATAGGAAACGCGCCAATCATTTCTCTCCTGGCAGGGATTAGAACCAGGAATTCCTGATTGTGAATCGGGAACGAACCCGACTGTACTCCCGGGAGGCTGCACACAGTACGGCCTCCAGCCGTGCAATACCTGCCTTACACCTGCCGCCCTCCCGGGATACACGCCGCTACCCGCCCACTCCCCCCCCCCCCCCACCAAGGGTCCGGATTTCGTGGGTTACACACTCCCGCACAAACACGGCCGGCATCAGTGCACCTGCTATAATGGTTTCATTCAATACACATTTTCACCATTATTTAAAAAGTTTGCTACCATTGACTGGGGCCTTGAAGGACTGGCGGCTCTCATAATCCTCCAGAGTCCGTGGTCAATGGAATGGAGTTTGTTTAAAAAACAATAGATTCACTTTATACAGGAAGACGATACATCTAGGAATGTTGCTGTTTTAAACAAAATAATCATCGCTAGAGGCAGGGCCCAGGAGTTGGAGTATGGCATCCTTGAGTTAAAACAGGTATGTGATGCCAATTCGGATGGAAGCCGAAGCCTCCGGCTATGGCGGGCTCAAGATGAATCCTACTCGCTTGCCGGATGTCACGAAATTACTAATAATTTTATCTCGACTGTATTAACACACGGCGCAGTATACCCAGTGTGTTGTAGCTCACCAGCTACGACATGCGCACACACCAGCCTCGCCTCTTCCTGCAGAACCAGGCGTCTCTCACTACCATCTTCTCATTAAAGAAACGTAACAGAAAACGTAGTTTACTAAATGGTTTTGTAGGCGAGTTGTCTGCGTCACTTTGCTAAAGAGAAGAGCGCAAGAACCACAACTTATTATTATGGGAGATAAACAACCCCCCACAGGAAGCAAAACAGGTTGCAGATGAAACGTCACTTCCGCAATTAATGACGCAAAAAAACAAGTCGGGATATAGATAATTCAAAAATTTTCCGCATAATCTTTACAATGAGAATGACCTTGAGAGCATCGCTTGATCCGTAAGATTTGTCATTGAGCGTTCTTGTTGCAAATCTACGTCTTGGCTTCACTGTACACATCAGGACAATATCAACACAAATATGAATAAATATACGAACACAAGGCTGCATACCTGCAACCCTCGTCATTTCTCATCCCATTTCCCTGTCCCCTTGTCTTTGAAACTTGGTTAGTCGGTCCTCGTGCACACAGCTCGGGAGCGGAATACGGCCTTCACAGCGCACCACCAATCTTTCACTGCGATTACTCATTCTCTCTATGTGACCAAGACATCATACAAAGTATGCTCCTTTTCACCATTTAGACCCTAGCTTCCGCTATGATAGTTCTGTGTTCTTGTTGATGACTTAACTTCTGGTCTCTAACCATTGACTGTGGTATTCTTCAAGTCTCCTGCTATCCTTACAATAATCCTCTTCACAGTATATATAATGCTTTTCACTCATACCGTTCATGGTTCCACTTGATACAATCCCTCAGTTAAGGTCCTCAAGCATCCCATCCTCACACCGGTCAAGCCGTCTCTCCAGTCGTGCTCAATCTCCAACTTTACAAGCAAGGTCTCTTATGCCAGGTCTGAATCCCATCTCAAAGACATTGTCCTTAAATTAAAAAAAAAAACGCTAATAAAAGCTTACCTTGTGTTAAATCTCGACACCTGCATTTTCAACTACATATTATAAATATCTAAATTATTGTAAGAAAATCTTGCTTGAACCTATGAAATTTATTTATACGTCTAAATATAATCCATAAATTTCCAACTTATCCTGAGCTACTGAAATTATCTTGATAGCATTTCCTTAACCACAGAACTTATTTTGGTGATCTACACTTTCTTAATCTCTGAAATTATATTGAAAATCTGGACTATCCTTGAATATCTGAACTTTATCCTGAAATGTAAACATTTTGCAAACATTTCGCTAAATGAACTAAGAGGTTCAGTTCCTGAACCCATATGTGCCTTTGTAACCCCTTCCACCACCGCCCACCGGATGGGTATGGGGTGCATAATAAATAAATGGAATTACAAAAATAGTCTACATTTACTGAGCTTAACCATTAGAGTCCGCTAATGTTTATTTGCCTGACCTTGACCTTGGATTCCCTCCTCGTGCGTCTGGGTGTCGGCCTGCTGCAGCAGTGCTCCTAGAGGGTCAACCTCGGCCTCCACCTTCTTCCAGCTGTCCTCCAGCAGGGCCAGGACTCGCTCGACGGTGCTCCGGAAGTGAGGGTCGTCCTCCAGCATGGTACGAAGGACCAGGTTCTCCTCGGACGGTACATAGCTAAGTCTGAAGAAGGATAATTTAGGTAATTAACTTTAGGATAAGTTGGGATTGTGTATAAATTTCAAGGAAAAAAATAATCTTAATGAGGAAAATTATATCAAGTATATCTGACCTCAAATAATACAAATTATAGTAAAGTTAATCAAAAGATTGAATAACTTGAGTGTGTCGTGTGCGTCACTGACGCTCAAGTCGTCAGTGAAGCACTTTTTTTAGAAGTGTTCTGATGTCATCAGTTGAGAGTCGTGTGTAAACCGCTTTTCATCCATAAACGAGCTTTGGCGGGTGCATGGAATATACTTTGGCCTTTGTTTATGAGGCGGGCTGCGGGGGTGTCTAGGCACAGCCTGTCTTCGTAAACAAAGGCCGAAGTCCATTCCATGCACCCGCCAAACCCACTGTTTATGAATGAAAAAAGGTTTAGACACGACTCAACTCAACCCGTCCCCAGACCAAGTCCATTCTATCCAGCTGTCGACCCCAAAGACGCATTCATCAATTTTAACATTCTGTTCATTCAAAACAGAACTTTTCTCAAATATAAATTATTATTATATATTAGCATATTGTACATATTTAGGCATTGGTTAGGTTAGGTGTTTTTTCTGTTGCTGATTATTTGTAGTACGTGGGTGAAGCATTTACAGCATTGTAGTTTGAACAAAAGTCGTCAGTGAAGCACCTGTTCCGGATGTGTTCGGACGTCATCAGTTGTGCAGCAGGCCGTCCTTGCATACAAAGATCCAAGCTCATTAATCCAGATCCAAACCCTGTTTGTGAATGAAAAAAATGGTTTACACACGACCAAATTGATGATGTCCAAACACTTCTGGAACAAGTGCTTCCCTGACGAATTTTGTTCGACCCACAACGCTGTAAATGCTTCACCCACGTACTACAAATACAAATAATCGGCAACAGATCCTAAACACCTAACTTAACCAATGCCTAAATATGCACAGTATGCTAATATATAATAATATTAATTTATATTTGAGCATTCATATTTTGAATGAACAGCATGTTAAAAATTTTGAATGCATCTTTGGGGTCGACCGCTGGATGGAATGGACTTGGTCTGTAACCCATCCTCAAACCAAGTTCATTCCATCCATTCTTTGTCACCCCAAAGACACATTTATCAATTTTAACATTTGTTCATTGAAAATAGTTATTTCCTAAAAAATAAAGCTACTTTTCACTCTAATTTTAGCTACTTTTAAAGCTACTACGACAAGCTACTGTCGTGGTCTAGTAGCTAGAAGCTAAAGCCTCTAGCTGCTAGACCACCACATGGTATAAGAATTGCAACCTGGAGTTCTACTGAACCCACAAGGATTGCCTGAGGCTGCTTCTGAAGCCGGAACAAGATTTTCACACAATCCCCCACATGCACTCTGGCTCTGTCATTCAGGCATATCTACCTCTTTTTCTACATCCACCGCAGAGGTTCGAACATAGTGAGAATTTGTGGAGAGATTATGTTTAGCATGTTTAGGGAGTTAAACAAGGGGGCTGAGTGTTGTCTGAAAGCAGAGTTTGTTATTATTCTGATAGCAGATTTTTGCTGGGTGATGATGGACTTGAGGTGGTTTGCAGTGGTTGAAACCCTATGCACAGTCACTGCTCATACAGATTTTATCATTGGTGCAGTCACGTTAGTGTGATTACTGTGTAGTATTGGTATTATTATATATTTCATCATTACTTATAGAAATTTGCAAGTCCTCTGCATTCTATATCAACAGATTTTGGGGCTATCCCGAGTAAGGATTTCTCCTAAAACAGCTCATATAACATGGATCTGACTTCAACAGGACTAAATGCCTTTCAGTAAGCCTCTCCTCCTCTTTCAGTAATCTCTCTGCGAGAGTAGTTCCTTCATAATTCCAAATATGTAGCTGAGGGGGGGGGGGGCTGTGCTGACTGCTGTAGACCTGCTACGCCATTATATACATTGTCACTCATACTGATGTGTGAGTGGCAGGGCAGAGAGTGAGGCGCCCCAGTAAAGCAGACGTTGTGCAGAGTGTCTGTGTGACTCACCTGTCCTGGGGTGTGAAGTAAGGCAGGAGAGGCTGAGTAGAGAGTATGGTAGCCTCGCACGCCTTCACTACCTCCCGCACGCCGCCCATCAGAGTCTCCCGCGTGGGCGTGCACACAACCACGCCGCCCTCCACACCCACCTTCACCAGGAACATGGCGCATGTTTCCTCCGTCTCATCCTACATGGACGTAATAGTTTCGTTTGGCCTGCTTGTACTTGTGAAGGTTACTAAACAATATACAGCTCCAGCTACACAATATACAGCTACAGCTACACAATATACACCTACAGCTACACAATATACACCTACAGCTACACAATATACACCTACAGCTACACAATATACACCTCCAGCTACACAATATACACCTCCAGCTACACAATATACACCTCCAGCTACACAATATACACCTCCAGCTACACAATATACACCTCCAGCTACACAATATACACCTCCAGCTACACAATATACACCTACAGCTACACAATATACACCTCCAGCTACACAATATACACCTCCAGCTACACAATATACACCTCCAGCTACACAATATACACCTCCAGCTACACAATATACACCTACAGCTACACAATATACACCTACAGCTACACAATATACACCTACAGCTACACAATATACACCTACAGCTACACAATATACACCTACAGCTATATAATATACACCTCCAGCTACACAATATACACCTCCAGCTACACAATATACACCTCCAGCTACACAATATACACCTACAGCTACACAATATACACCTCCAGCTACACAATATACACCTCCAGCTACACAATATACACCTCCAGCTACACAATATACACCTCCAGCTACACAATATACACCTCCAGCTACACAATATACACCTCCAGCTACACAATATACACCTCCAGCTACACAATATACACCTACAGCTACACAATATACACCTCCAGCTACACAATATACACCTCCAGCTACACAATATACACCTCCAGCTACACAATATACACCTACAGCTACACAATATACACCTACAGCTACACAATATACACCTCCAGCTACACAATATACACCTCCAGCTACACAATATACACCTCCAGCTACACAATATACACCTCCAGCTACACAATATACACCTACAGCTACACAATATACACCTACAGCTACACAATATACACCTCCAGCTACACAATATACACCTACAGCTATATAATATACAGCTGCAGCTATACAATATGGCAGCAGCCGTAGAAAATGAAAAAATGCACAAATCATTACCTGTAGCAAAAAGCCAGGCTAATAAAGAGAGAGATTGAGGGGGGGGGGGGGAAGAAAAAGAGTGAGTGGGTGTGCACTGACCTCCTGCTGGGACTGGTGGAGGGTGACGGTCCTGGCGGTGATGGCGTCCAGGAGGCTGGTGGCGGTGTTGTGGAGGACAGTCCGCAGCGCTGACGCCACCATCAGGTCCACCACCCGCACCATCCTTGTAAGGTGGGTGAGAGAACGCGCCTCAAAAATTACTGAGAGAACACGCTATGCTAGTATGACTTGTGTGTTATTTAGAGGGGAAACAGAGGTTAAGAAGACGCAGTGAAGGAACGGTGTCCCCCCCCAACACCTGGACCAACGGGAATCGAACACCGACTCTGCAAGATATCCTTGTAGGGTGTGAAAAACGATGTTACTATTGTCACGGGGGGGTGGGCCGGGGCTCTGCTAGCACTCAGCTGCTAGGGGCTCAAAAGGCCGAATACTCAGCCCCTCCGACTCCCGGGATTCACCGGAGTCTCCTTGGTCACACAGGAGAGGACCAACAATGCCCACCTCTGCAGGTCTTTGCTTCCACCACAAAAGGGGGTGCCACTGATTCACCCTGGAAGCCCTTCAGTCAAACATGGGGAAACTGCTGTTAACAGTTCCGGCCTAGACCCATGGAGGAGTGAAGGAAGACTCAGGCTTACCTTGTAACAATAACCTCCCTAAGTCTTGCCTGCCAGACAAAAAGGTTGCAGGAACTCCTTTCCCGCCTGTCTTCTCTATCTTCTTCTTAACAAGGTCGCCAGCTGGGTTATTATATCTGCACCCCAGCAGTGCAGTTCAGTGGGTGTATTATATATTGTTTGTAGCCAGAAGATTGCTACTCCCATAGATCTGCTATTAGACTGTCGGCCCAGGGTACTCTCCCAGGAAGGTCTGTGTGGCTTTACCTCTCTCTAGCCACCACGTTACTAGTTGCCACCATTCAGGCACTGATACTGATCGGATGGCTAAGGGTACACTTTTATATAGGGCCGTGCTGTCTTTACCACTCTCCAGGCAATAAGAACCTCTATAGAGAACGTGGTGTTCCCTAGGTGGTACTATGATAACCTTCGTGTATGCTCATAGAGAAATATTATGAAGGAGGCACACTTAAACACAATGATAAAAGTGTGAATTTACTGACGCAAATTACATGATCACATATACAGTCACAAGTAATACATGAATATGAAAATAAAGGATAATAAGTCTGGAGATCGTCAGTCTCTTCTTCCACGACCTCCAACACTCCTTCCACTGGGCAGATTAGACAGGAGTCCCACACTCTCTCACAGGAGGGCCTCTTCACCACGTCGGCGCCTCTTCTTCACTGTCCTGCCGTCCATACACACTGTCCTCTCTGACAGTCCTGGACACAAGCTGCCTTGCAGCCTATTCTACTACTAAAGTATTAATGTCCTGTTGCCACATACATAAGTAAATATTGTGGCCTAACTAGCCTACTCACACAAGGGGTAATGGGAGGGAAAATGATCTACCTTACATTCCTGGCTCACGACGCCTGTCCCTCGATGGTGTGAGGTTCTCACGCTTCCTGAGTCGATCCTTGACGATCCAGGAACGTTCCACAGGTCCTCAGGTGTCGTGGAGCCTTCGCGTCGTCGCCGTTCCAATCCCTGAGATTCAGCTACCCAAATCCTGGTTCATCGATGGGCGCTGAGCTAATCACTATTTTCCCACACTCGCCCCTTCCACAAGGCGTTGCTCCTTGTCCTAGGCACGGTGTCGTCCTTCCAAAAAACTCAGTGGATGTGACCCGGTCACAGCTAGGCTTGCCCGCCACACCTTTCCAGGCCCTCAACGTCCAGCGTTGCCGCCGAATATTTTCCAAGTTTGGCACTCTTTTGCTCAATAAACTTGGTTCCTTTTTGCTTCCCAGAAGCGCGGGGTCTCCAATACGTAAGATGAGCTGTGATAGCCAGCTCTAATCCACTAGGAAAGGCTTGTAGAGCCTCAAATCCTTGAGAGCTGATTGAGGTGCGTCCTCTCGCCTTCACGGTCAGGTCAACTCTGACGTTGGCGCCGCCCGGGGCACTCGGTGACGTCACGGCGGGCCCTGATTGGTCGCCCGCGACCTAAGTCGGCCAATCCGCGATCGGCTAGTGTCCCTTCCAAAAGGTCATATCTGCATTAGGGGATACTCTTTCATTTTATATCAGGGCGCCAATTTCCCCTTACTTACAACTTATAATGTAACTTTCTCCCTTCACTGGCAGCCGGTCTGGTCGCCACATGTATCAATAGACTCCTTGTACCTGAGAGAATCAGTAGGGTAACTCTTGATTTTGTCATTTGTATTGAAATTTGAAGAGAGTTGTTTCCCTGTAGTTCTCCATATTATCGTAGAAGACACAATGAAATAATTAACTTTTATTGCACACTAAAAAAAAATCAGACATGGTCTCGAGCTGAATTACTTTGCATCAATATTATTGCGTGTAATCTTGTCACAGGCTCCACAATTCTTCTAATTAGGGATTTTTAAGTAATCATTTAAGTCAATACTGTTTTACTCTTTGCTATGTTATAATAGCATGAAAATACAAAATGGTATAATTAAGAGATTAATGATCAATATATAATTCCCTAAAGCTTCAAGATAAACGTTATCATGTGAGCCCCTTGGCCCATGTGTAGCCTAACGTCACATGATGTTAGGCTTGGTCTTAGGACCAAGTGTCTGGGACACGCGGGGAAAATCAACAATTAAAATGTCGGACGCAGCTGTAAAAGGAACTTCCATAAAGGAATATGAAATAGTATGTAGGTTGAAGTACGTTTTATGCTTCAAGCCGTTATCAGCTACTCTTCTATCCAGGTGAACAGTTAATCCAAGTTACATAAAACCAGTCTGGTATTTATGAAGGGTTCTTCACTTCACTGTGTATATAAATATATTGTACCTACTAGCCAGAACGTCGTATTCGGCCTACTATGCAAGACCCGATTTGTCTAGTAGGCCAAGTTTTCCTGAATTTATATATTTGTTCTAATTTTTTTCTTATGAAATGATAAATCTGTCCATTTCATTCTGTATAAGTTAATTTTTTTTTATTTTAGTTAAAACTAACTTAGATATATGACCGAACCTAACCAACCCTACCTAACCTAACCTATCTTATCCTAACCTAAACTAACATAACTAAGTCAATAAATTATGTTCCTAATATAATAATAATAATAATTCCAATGAACTAATTGGAAACAATTTATTGAAAATAAAGAAAATTAATCGGCCTATTAGGCAAATCGGGCCTTGCATAGTAGGCCGAGAAGTGTGTTCTGGCTACTAGGTACGACATATATATATATATATATATATATATATATATATATATATATATATATATATATATATAGCCAAGTTTTCATGAATATATATATATATATATATGTCGTACCTAGTAGCCAGAACTCACTTTTTGGCCTACTATTCAAGGCCCGATTTGCCTAATAAGCCAAGTTTTCCTGAATTAATATATTTTTTCTAATTTTTTTCTTATGAAATGATAAAGCTACCCATTTCATTATGTGTGAGGTCATTTTTTTTTATTGGAGTTAAAATTAACGTAGATATATGACCGAACCTAACCAACCCTACCTAACCTAACCTATCTTTATAGGTTAGGTTTGGTTAGGTAGCCGAAAAAGTTAGGTTAGGTTAGATTAGGTAGGTTAGGTAGTCGAAAAACAATTAATTCATGAAAACTTGGCTTATTAGGCAAATCGGGCCTTGCATAGTAGGCTGAGAAGTGCGTTCTGGCTATTAGGTACGACATATATATATATATATATATATATATATATATATATATATATATATATATATATATATATATATATATATATATATATATATATATATATATATATATATATATATATTGGTGTATACTGGCAGCAGGTTTTCTTTCAAACATGTTTCATTGAATATGACCGCATATTCTGTATTTATTATTTTCTGGTTTAGGGCTTCTATCCCTCTAACTATTTTCTTAGCATCAGGGCTTAATTGAAATAGGAGTTCTCCAAAACTCATTTTCGTACTTTTAAGGTGAAGAAAAGAAGTGATTTACTATAGAGTGTATTACACTTATTTGTATAATTTGCACGACGTTTCGAACCTCCATGGTTCATTGTCAAGTGAATAGATCTTACAATACTAGTTGATTTTATACCCGCATTAGGTCAGGTGATAATACAATGAAGGTGAAAACATGGGGGGATACATAAGGGATAAACATAGGGGCTGCAGAAGGCTTATTGGCCCATACGAGGCATCTCCTATCTAAACACAAAGATTAATCCAGTGTAATTGGCCTGTTATGTTGGACATTGTCTTCTGTGTTGGCATCGATATGTTCTTGTCTTGTCCTTACTACTTGTCCTTACTTACTTGTCCTTAGTAAGGACAAAGTACGAAAATGAGTTTTGGAGAACTCCTATTTCAATTAAGCCCTGATGCTAAGAAAATAGTTAGAGGGATAGAAGCCCTAAACCAGAAAATAATAAATACAGAATATGCGGTCATATTCAATGAAATATATATATATATATATATATATATATATATATATATATATATATATATATATATATATATATATATATATATGAATGAAAACTCACACCCCAGAAGTGACTCGAACCCATACTCCCAGAAGCAACGCAACTGGTAACTACAGGGCGCCTTAATCCGCTTGACCATCACGGCCGTCAAAAGGAAGTGATAGCCGAGGCTATTTGAGCCACTTCCCCGACGGCAACTCGGATGGTTATCTTGGGCATAGCATTTCACCAAATCACCTCATTCTTTGGGGCACACGTGAGGAACACAAATGCGAACAAGCCTGAATGGTCCCCAGGACTATATGCGAATGAAAACTCACACCCCAGAAGTGACTCGAACCCATACTCCCAGAAGCAACGCAACTGGTAACTACAGGGCGCCTTAATCCGCTTGACCATCACGGCCGTCAAAAGGAAGTGATAGCCGAGGCTATTTGAGCCACTTCCCCGACGGCAACTCGGATGGTAATCTTGGGCATAGCATTTCACCAAATCACCTCATTCTTTGGGGCACACGTGAGGAACACAAATGCGAACAAGCCTGAATGGTCCCCAGGACTATATGCGAATGAAAACTCACACCCCAGAAGTGACTCGAACCCATACTCCCAGAAGCAACGCAACTGGTAACTACAGGGCGCCTTAATCCGCTTGACCATCACGGCCGTCAAAAGGAAGTGATAGCCGAGGCTATTTGAGCCACTTCCCCGACGGCAACTCGGATGGTAATCTTGGGCATAGCATTTCACCAAATCACCTCATTCTTTGGGGCACACGTGAGGAACACAAATGCGAACAAGCCTGAATGGTCCCCAGGACTATATGCGAATGAAAACTCACCTATCTGAGTCTCCCCTATCCCACCAAGAGTACCAGGAGTCTCACCTATCCCTCCAAGAGTACCAGGAGTCTCACCTATTCCTCCAAGAGTACCAGGAGTCTCACCTATTCCTCCAAGAGTACCAGGAGTCTCACCTATTCCTCCAAGAGTACCAGGAGTCTCACCTATTCCTCCAAGAGTACCAGGAGTCTCACCTATCCCTCCAAGAGTACCAGGAGTCTCACCTATTCCTCCAAGAGTACCAGGAGTCTCACCTATTCCTCCAAGAGTACCAGGAGTCTCACCTATTCCTCCAAGAGTACCAGGAGTCTCACCTATTCCTCCAAGAGTCTCACCTATTCCTCCAAGAGTACAAGGAGTCTCACCTATTCCTCCAAGAGTACCAAGAGAGTACCAGGAGTCTCACCTATTCCTCCAAGAGTACCAGGAGTCTCACCTATTCCTCCAAGAGTACCAGAGTAGTCTCACCTATTCCTCCAAGAGTACCAGGAGTCTCACCTATTCCTCCAAGAGTACCAGGAGTCTCACCTATTCCTCCAAGAGTACCAGGAGTCTCACCTATCCCTCCAAGAGTACCAGGAGTCTCACCTATCCCTCCAAGAGTACCAGGAGTCTCACCTATCCCTCCAAGAGTACCAGGAGTCTCACCTATCCCTCCAAGAGTACCAGAGTCTCACCTATCCCTCCAAGAGTACCAGGAGTCTCACCTATCCCTCCAAGAGTCTCACCTATTCCTCCAAGAGTACCAGGAGTCTCACCTATTCCTCCAAGAGTACCAGGAGTCTCACCTATCCCTGAGAGTACCAGGAGTCTCCCCTATCCCACCAAGAGTACCAGGAGTCTCACCTATCCCTCCAAGAGTACCAGGAGTCTCCCCTATCCCACCAAGAGTACCAGGAGTCTCACCTATCCCTCCAAGAGTACCAGGAGTCTCACCTATCCCTCCAAGAGTACCAGGAGTCTCGCCTATCCCTCCAAGAGTACCAGGAGTCTCACCTATCCCTCCAAGAGTACCAGGAGTCTCACCTATACCTCCAAGAGTACCAGGAGTCTCACCTATCCCTCCAAGAGTACCAGGAGTCTCACCTATCCCTCCAAGAGTACCAGGAGTCTCACCTATCCCTCCAAGAGTACCAGGAGTCTCACCTATTCCTCCAAGAGTACCAGGAGTCTCACCTATCCCTCCAAGAGTACCAGGAGTCTCACCTATCCCTTCAAGAGTACCAGGAGTGTGTGTGTTACTGGGAATGGCCTGGTATAGTGCATGACTGTGCAAGAGGAGTACTTACTTGATGACTGAGGCGTGGGCGTGGCGGCGGGTCACAGACGACCCGGTGTTGCTCCTGGGAGATGTGGCCCGCTTCTCCCCGCTCACCACCTCCGACCCTGAGACCTCGCCACACATGGGGGGGGGGGGATTAAAGGTACCTTTAGTGCCGTAACATTGTGTGTGCGTACGTCTACCCCCTGTCTCCCTCACTCTCCTTCCCCCTCTCTCCTCCTTGACCCCCCCCCCTCTCTCTCCCCCCCCTCTCTCTCTCTCTCCCTCTCTCCCCACTGTCTCTCTCTCCCCCCCCCACTCTCTTCCCCCCCCCTTCCACACACACACACACTTCCCCTTTTCTGCTCGTTCTCTCTGTTCCCTATTTCCCCTTGCTCGCTCTCTTCCTCCCTTTAAACTCTTTCCTTACTCCTTTCACTTTCTCTTCCCTCCCGCACCCTTTTCTGCTCTCTCTTTCTTTCCCCCCTCCCCCCCCCCCCCCTTCCGATAGCTCTCCTTACTTCCTCTTTGGTAAACTTACCATCGGCGTCGGCAGGCGGGTCGTCAGTATGCATCATGCTGGCGACCACCTGCAGGAGGAGAGTCCTGAAGGAGGCGAGGCGGGTCCTCACGTTGGTAAGTGCCGCCTGCTGCCTGGCCAGCCACGTCTCCATCACGGCCGGCTCCGCACTGCTCACCTGCGGGAGCACATAAGGCCTATACTCCTTCACCACTGCATGTTAGTCCTCCCCGGCTTCGTCTACCCGTCCATGTGCTCCTGGATCCACATAAACCCAAACCCCATCCACCTAAAATTATAGTAATTATTTAAACTTATTTATCGACCGTATAAAAAAAATGACACCCAAAACAAGTTCACGTCTTTTAGTATTAATTTTGTAATAAGCACAAAAAGTCTAAACCCAACTTAAATATTCCTAGCCCTCGTATAGTACATATACATATTATATTAGGCATAAGATAGCGTATATTAGGTCTATATTTGCTTGGAAACTGTTGTATGGTGCATCCATCTCGAGAAGCACATTAATAAACTGGAAATGACATGCTACGAAATGGCTCCCGGAAGTAAAAGACAAGACCTACGAGGAGAGGCTAGAGGCGTAGAAATATACCAGAGACAGAAGATTCAACAAGACACAATATGATTGCTACATGTAAAATTTTAACAGGAAGCCACTAAATTGACAAGAATTCTTCAATCCTGCAACTTCAATATAAAAAAAGTCATAGATTTAAGCTAAGGAAACAAAGGTACAGACAAAAAAAAAAGTATTTTGCAAACAGTGGAAGACGTTTCGAAGAATTAGTTAAGTGAAGTCGTTGGAGGCCAAAATCGTCAGTATGATGACAGTGATGGGAAGGCGGGACCACGAGTGTAGCTCTCATCCTGTAACTGCACTCACACTCCGTCATTCGTGCTCCAGCTCTTATCCTGATCTCAAGGATCTTCTAGGTATATGGGAAAAAGATAGGCAGTCCGAACCTTTATTTTTTGTGCCAAGATTCGTTGGTGGGCAAAGCGACGAACCTCAGTTCTTCCAGGGCCGCAATTCGATTCCCCTCCTCTTCGTCCAAGTGGTTGTGCGCTGTTCCGTCTCACTTAGGTAATTACTTACACACACACACACACACACACACACACACACACACACACACACACACACACACACACACACACACACACACACACACACACACGCGCACACACGCGCACACGCGCACACACGCGCACACACGCGCACACACGCGCACACACGCGCACGCGCACACACACGCACGCACACACACACGCGCACGCACACACACACGCGCGCACACACACACGCGCGCACGCACACACACGCGAACGCGCACACACGCACACACATGGAGTGAAAAACATGATGGAAGTGCTAAGAAATGCCAAAAAATTGCAGAGTGATGAGGTTGGCAAACTTTGGTCAATAAGACAAGACCTCTCCAAGGAAGACAGAGAAAAGCTGAAAATGAACCTAATTGAGGCAAAACGTCTAAATGGAGAGAGAAATGAAGAAGACAGAAATTCTTTTTTCTACAAAGTGACAGGGACTGGAAAGCTTGTGAAATGGTACATAAAAACAAAGCAACAAGATCAGTAGTGGAAGGGGGAGTAAAGAGCAAAGTAAAAGGGAACATGTTCCTGAAAATTGTATATACCAACGTAGATGGAGTGAGGTCAAAAACTTTGGAGCTGCAAGATATAATCCAGCTTAGGGTCCCAGATATTGTTGCATTATCAGAGACGAAACTTGAAGGAAATATAATAAATGAAGTCATATTCCCAAGAGGCTATTCAGTTTGGAGACGTGACAAGGAAAACTAGGAAGGGAGGAGGAGTGGTTGTGCTGGTGAAAAAACACCTGAAGGTAAGAGAGTTAATATTTGAAAACCCTCGAGATATTGACATAATGGCATTGCAGGTCTGGAATCAGGATGATAAGCTGATCATTGTAAATGCCTACAGCCCACCAGCAAGCAACACATGGACAAAGAAAGAACTGGATGACAAACGAGAGGTCCTCAAACTGGTCATGAGAGATATTATTGTACAAGCAGATAAAGATATATCACGACTGTTGATACCGGGGGACTTCAACTTTATAGCAATAGACTGGGAGGCCTATGAAGCAAGAACGGAGGACTTTTGGACATGCAGATTTGTGAACCTCATTCTGGAGACATTCTTGTATCAACACATAAAGCAGGCCTCAAGAATGAGGGAAGGAGATGTTTCGTCAGTACTGGATCTAGTATTCACCAGGAAAGAAGAAGAGATATTTGACATCCAGTACCTTCGTCCCTTGGGAAAGAGTGATCACGTCCTGTTAGACATTGATTATGCTTTAAGATATCATCTAGAAGAAAATGGGGACATTGAAACAGTTGATAAACTCGATTTAAGGAGAGGTCACTATAGGGAACTTCGAAATTTTTTTAATGAGTGTAATTGGACAGAATTGTTGCTAGGCAGGGAAGTAAACGAAATGTATGCCAATTTTTTAAAAATATACGAGGAAGGCACACAAACATTCATACCAAAACAGAGAGGCAGGGCCAGAAAACAGGATTGGTTCGACAGAAATTGTGAGAGGGCCAGAGACCAAAAGACACAAAAATGGAATCAGTATAGGAAGAGGCCAAACCCCCAAACATACCAGCGATACAAGATGCGAGAAACAACTATACGGCAGTAAGGAGAGAGGCAGAAAGAAATTTTGAAAAAGGAATAGCGGATAAATGTAAAACAGAACCGGGCCTATTCTACAAATTCATAAACAACAAATTGCAGGTAAAGGATAATATCCAGAGGTTGAAAATGGGAAACAGATTCACAGAAAATGAAAAGGAAATGTGTGAAACATTAAATGAAAAGTTCCAAAGTGTGTTTGTACAAAATGAAATCTTCAGAGAACCAGACACAATAAGAATTCCAGAGAACAACATAGAGCGGATAGAGGTGTCTAGAGATGAAGTGGAAAATATGCTAAAGGAGCTCAGTAAGAACAAAGCAGCTGGCCCAGATGGCGTTTCACCATGGGTTCTGAGAGAATGTGCATCTGAGCTCAGCATTCCACTTCACCTGATCTTTCAGGCATCCCTGTGTACAGGAATGGTAGCAGACGTGTGGAAACAGGCTAACATAGTTCCAATCTACAAAAGTGGCAGCAGGGAAGACCCCCTCAATTATAGACCTGTATCATTGACAAGTGTAATAGTGAAAGTATTGGAAAAACTAATCAAAACTAAATGGGTAGAACACCTGGAGAGAAATGATATAATATCAGACACAGTATGGTTTTCGATCTGGAAGATCCTGTGTATCGAATTTACTCAGTTTCTATGATCGAGCCACAGAGATATTACAGGAAAGAGATGGCTGGGTTGACTGCATCTATCTGGACCTAAAAAAGGCTTTCGACAGAGTTCCACATAAGAGGTTGTTCTGGAAACTGAAAAATATTGGAGGGGTGACAGGTAAGCTTCTATCATGGATGAAAAATTTTCTGACTGATAAAAAAAGAGGGCAGTAATCAGAGGCAATGTATTGGAATGGAGAAATGTCACAAGTGGAGTACCACAGGGTTCAGTTCTTGCACCAGTGATGTTTATTGTCTACATAAATGATCTACCAGTTGGTATACAGAATTATATGAACATGTTTGCTGATGATGCTAAGATAATAGGAAGGATAAGAAATTTAGATGATTGTCATGCCCTTCAAGAAGACCTGGACAAAATAAATATATGGAGCACCACTTGGCAAATGGAATTTAATGTTAATAAATGTCATGTTATGGAATGTGGAATAGGAGAACATAGACCCCACACAACCTATAAATTATGTGAGAAATCTTTAAAGAATTCTGATAAAGAAAGAGATCTAGGGGTGGTTCTAGATAGAAAACTATCACCTGAGGACCACATAAAGAATATTGTGCAAGGAGCCTATGCTATGCTTTCTAACTTCAGAATTGCATTTAAATACATGCATGGCGATATACTAAAGAAATTGTTCATGACTTTTGTTAGGCCAAAGCATAGAATATGCAGCTGTTGTGTGGTGCCCATATCTTAAGAAGCACATCAACAAACTGGAAAAGGTGCAGAGACATGCTACTAAGTGGCTCCCAGAACTGAAGGGCAAGAGCTACGAGGAGAGGTTAGAAGCATTAAATATGCCAAAACTAGAAGACAGAAGAAAAAGGTGATATGATCACTACGTACAAAATAGTAACAGGAATTGATAAAATCGACAGGGAAGATTTCCTGAGACCTGGCACTTCAAGAACAAGAGGTCATAGATTTAAACTAGCTAAACATAGATGCCGAAGAAATATAAGAAAATTCACCTTCGCAAATAGAGTGGTAGACGGTTGGAACAAGTTAAGTGAGAAGGTGGTGGAGGCCAAGACCGTCAGTAGTTTCAAAGCGTTATATGACAATACGTTATATACGTTATACGTCAATACGTTCATACGTTATATGATATATGAGTGCTGGGAAGACGGGACACCACGAGCGTAGCTCTCATCCTGTAACTACACTTAGGTAATTATATATACACACACACACACACCATGTACCTTAAGGCAGCAGGCCAGGGAACTCACCTGGAGGAGGCCCATGTGAGAGAGCCGGTGGCAGAGGGCGGCGACGTTGACTAGTGTGGCGTGGAAGGGCGGCTGGAGGGTGAGGAGGTAAGCTGAAACTCTGGTCTTCGCCTCCCTCACCTTCCGGCACCTCACACTCCTTCGCCACACCTGCCACGTCTTGCTTAGTCGGAAGTTCCGAAAGAACCGGATCTGTTCGGATGAGGAAGTGTGGTAAGTGTTGCAGTTAAGAAACAGTTCGAATCTCGGGCAGAGCGGGACATTTGGCCACGTTTCTGTACACGTGATGTGTGTTTAACTAGTATTAAGATTCACCAAGGTGTTTACTGAAGGACAAATAACCCCCTCAGGGACACCAGGAAACCAAGAAATGAATTACAAGGAGAGGCAGCAATGTAAGTGGGACAATGTACTTCGAAGGAAAAGAAGCAGAACGATGTTCCAATAAGTTGCTATGAGTTAAGTGGGCGTGAGAAGTAAAGAACCTAGCTAAAGTCATTTCCCATCGCCTGGTACAAGACAGGCCAAGGGTGAAGTCACTTTTAAGATCACTCAGTTTATTACCTCTAATGCCAGCTCAACGACCTGCCTACGGTCGTCGACTGCAGAATGGATGACCGAGTTGAAATCTGAATAAAAGAATCCCTTTCAAGGACGCGGTGCAAGCACAAATGGGCTCCTTGGTGCGGGTGTCCACAGGTTCCCGCGAGGTAACCCCAGTATGGCTGGGAACCCACTAAAATTGGCTGTTTTATATCTGTGAGATGTGGGGCCTCGATAAGCCTAAACAGCTTCCATTTTCTCTAACATCTGACTTTCCTGCATCATTCTACTGAACAACGGGATACGCATACTTTATTTAATTAACACTTGGAATAATTGTAGTTGTTAGATCAATGTGCACACACGTAGTTCAGTCACATTATTAATAAGAGATCCACGTTGCTGTCAATACCCTTCTATGAAGGAGGAGGAACAAATGATCAAATATTGTATGTTTATCTGCTATTAAATGCGCTAAACTCTGTGTATTATTCCCATTGTAAACAGGTGTGGCGTATCAAGGCGCCCTAGCCAAGGATTGGCTACATCCAGGATGCAACCCTCTACGGAGGCAACTGGTGCAAGGAGTGGGACCCAGCACCACCGGGTTGTCAGCCCAGTTACAAGTACCTGGTGGCTGGTTAATACTTGTGTAGCGCGCCTGACAGCTCAGTGGACAGCGCTTCGGATTCGTAGTCCTGAGGTTCCAGGTTCGATCACAGGTGAAGGCGGAGACAAATGGGCTGAAAGTTTCTTTCACCCTAATGCCCCTGTTACCTAGCAGTACTTGGGAGTTAGACAGCTGCTACGGGCTGCTTCCTGTGGGAGGGGGGGGGTAACAAAAAGGAGGCCTGGTCGAGAACCGGGCCGCGGGGACGCTAAGCCCCGAAATCATCTCAAGATAACCTGAAGATCTCAAGATAACCATCATAGCAAGATAATGAAACATGATTGTCACTAATACTTAACGCTTTGTTGTGATGGTCTGTAACGTTTGTACATATTTTACATTGAATTATACACTATATAACAGATTTTGAACAAAGTACCATAGAAATGTGACCTGGCCTGACCTGGCCTAACATAACTAAAGTCAGTGATTCACGTTCTTAATAAACTGTATTAATATTGTTAGGATTGAACCAATTTGGAAAGAAAATTTAAACAATTGAAATAGCTCTGCTTGTTAAGCAAATCGGGCCTTGCCTTCTAAGCCAAGAAGTGGAGTTCAAGTCATCAGGTATGACATTATGTCCTTCCCTTTAACCCATCAGAGCCTCGAACCGCATACTACACAAGCACAGTCCGCAGCTCTACCTCCTGAGCCACCAACACCCACAATAAAGAAAGATCCCAAAGACTTGTGACCTGGCACAGGGTGTCAAGAGCCACGACCTTCCCTGGGGTGACCTGGCACAGGGTGTCAAGAGCCACGACCTTCCCTGGGGTGACCTGGCACAGGGTGTCAAGAGCCACGACCTTCCCTGGGGTGACCTGGCACAGGGTGTCAAGAGCCACGACCTTCCCTGGGGTGACCTGGCACAGGGTGTCAAGAGCCACGACCTTCCCTGGGGTGACCTGGCACAGGGTGTCAAGAGCCACGACCTTCCCTGGGGTGACCTGGCACAGGGTGTCAAGAGCCACGACCTTCCCTGGGGTGACCTGGCACAGGGTGTCAAGAGCCACGACCTTCCCTGGGGTGACCTGGCACAGGGTGTCAAGAGCCACGACCTTCCCTGGGGTGACCTGGCACAGGGTGTCAAGAGCCACGACTTTCCCTGGGGTGACCTGGCACAGGGTGTCAAGAGCCACGACCTTCCCTGGGGTGTCCTGGCACAGGGTGTCAAGAGCTACGACCTTCCCTGGGGTGACCTGGCACAGGGTGTCAAGAGCCACGACCTTCCCTGGGGTGTCCTGGCACAGGGTGTCAAGAGCTACGACCTTCCCTGGGGTGTCCTGGCACAGGGTGTCAAGAGCCACGACCTTCCCTGGGGTGACCTGGCACAGGGTGTCAAGAGCCACGACCTTCCCTGGGGTGTCCTGGCACAGGGTGTCAAGAGCCACGACCTTCCCTGGGGTGACCTGGCACAGGGTGTCAAGAGCCACGACCTTCCCTGGGGTGTCCTGGCACAGGGTGTCAAGAGCCACGACCTTCCCGGGGGTGACCTGGCACAGGGTGTCAAGAGCCACGACCTTCCCTGGGGTGTCCTGGCACAGGGTGTCAAGAGCCACGACCTTCCCTGGGGTGTCCTGGCACAGGGTGTCAAGAGCCACGACCTTCCCTGGGGTGTCCTGGCACAGGGTGTCAAGAGCCACGACCTTCCCTGGGGTGTCCTGGCACAAGGTGTCAAGAGCCACGACCTTCCCTGGGGTGTCCTGACACAAGGTGTCAAGAGCCACGACCTTCCCTGGGGTGTCCTGACACAAGGTGTCAAGAGCCACGACCTTCCCTGGGGTGTCCTGACACAAGGTGTCAAGAGCCACGACCTTCCCTGGGGTGTCCTGACACAAGGTGTCAAGAGCCACGACCTTCCCTGGGGTGTCCTGACACAAGGTGTCAAGAGCCACGACCTTCCCTGGGGTGTCCTGACACAAGGTGTCAAGAGCCACGACCTTCCCTGGGGTGTCCTGACACAAGGTGTCAAGAGCCACGACCTTCCCTGGGGTGTCCTGACACAAGGTGTCAAGAGCCACGACCTTCCCTGGGGTGACCTGGCACAAGGTGTCAAGAGCCACGACCTTCCCTGGGGTGTCCTGACACAAGGTGTCAAGAGCCACGACCTTCCCTGGGGTGTCCTGACACAAGGTGTCAAGAGCCACGACCTGGTCACAAAAGTATCTTTTGGTTGTTCCCACAAAATAGTTTGGACGGCAGATACTGTAGTTGTAGCCACTTCAGAGGTAATATCGTAGGTTAACTTCCTTTCAATTATATCTTCGGCCTTTAGAGGATCTGTTGTTGACTAGACCTGCCGTTCTCTAGCCACTTCCCCATCAACCTACTTCCAGCTGGAGCAATGAGAGAGCACGGGTGACAAAGGCGTCAACAACACTGCTTCTAGCATTAAGGCACAGTCCTATGGTGGTGCCCTTTGTGTAGATAGTCTGAAAGCCCCCTCCCATTCCTTTTCCAAACTCTTCCATCTACGAGAGTTTGTTTCCAGATGGACAACAAAGTGGTGTATCTGGAATCCTCTATTGCAGGTGCTCAGTAGGTAGAGCTGCGGAACCTGCTTTTGTAGTTTGCGGTTCGAGGCTCCAATAGTCTAAAGTGAATGAAATGTTATTATCCACGATGTACTGATTAAAAATTTACATGACTGGAACGTAGATTACCTAACAACCTCATGTCAAAGTGGCACCTGGCAGGGAAGGCCTAAAGTTCCAGTTGGACAGCAGATAGGTGGCTCTTGGATCCTTCTCTATTATGGGTGCTGGTGGCTCAGTAGGTAGAGCTGCAGGCTTTACTTTTATGGAATGTGGTCCGAGACTCCGATGGTCCAAAATATATGAAATGTCGTTAACCACGATATTGTGGCCAGCAATATCTATACTTTAAGAGAATATCTGTTGAAAGTTGGAGACCACGTGGTTCATCCATATTTTCATCTAGCTGGCCTCCCTACACGGCCCCCGTGTAGGGTGGAAGCCTCACCCAAATTGGCAGAGAAATAGTCTGGGGTACAGGATAAACAACAGGCTGCTCACGCCCGACAGAATTCACAAGGAAAAAGCGTGCCAGGAGGGTCACTCCCCCCCCCCCCCCCCCACACCACCATTTTGGGCACTTCCCGCCGTCTACACTCCTCAATATTGTAAAAAAAAAATTCAAAACAATTGTTTCTAATAATAATATGCACCATTATTCACCGATCTTAATACATTTCCTGGTGGCAATAATTTGCCCGTACTGGCATAAAACACCCGACTCTTCCACAGGTCATAGGTTTCTCAAGCTACGAAATACCATGTAACTCTTATCCCAGTAAGAGTTACTTGGTACTTCACACCACTAAGCTCCTCACTCACCACCACCCACACATTACTCTATTATATTTGTCATAAGAGACAATGAAACAGACAGGCAATAGATGGATGGATGGATCAATGCATGGATTGAGGTGTAGACAGATGAGTAGATATAGATGGACGGATGGATAGATATTGGTGGAGGGATTGATTGATACATTAAATGGGCAGATGGATAAACGGATAGGCAAATGAGCTTGTGGATGGATTGACTGATTGATGGATGGAAATATAGATATATGGACAAATAGATGTATGGATGATGGATAGATAGATACATACAGATGGATGGATGGATGGGTAGACAGATAGCTATAGATGGATATGTAGATAAATGGAAAGTTGGATAGATAGACGAACAGAGAAATGGACAGATAGATGAAAATGTAGATGATAGACGAATATATATACATGGATAAATAAATGGATAGTTCATTGGATAGTTGAATAAATAGATGGACAGATAAATACATGGACTGATAGATGACGAAATATATGGATGGACGGACGAATAGGAGAGACCCGGACAACGCCGGGTACCCCCCCCCCCCCACAATACCGACTCTGAGCAAGCCTGCAGGTTGCAGGCTTGCTCAGAGTCGACTCACTTGCCTTCTTGAGGTGCTTGTAGGCGGCGAACTCCCGCTGGAAGTCGTCCATGGTGGTGAAGGTGACCTCGCTGGGCCAGACCTGCGTCACCCCGGCGCTGCTCAGGATAGCGTACTGGCTCCTCCCGCGGGGCCGACTGCTCTCAACACTGACGGAGGTGAGGCACACAACATGATCAGTGCCAGTAGGGATGCTGGATACACATGAGGAGCGAATATGTATGTGGAAGGAATGGGGAGGGGGGAGTTGGAATAGGGCAAGGCGGAATCAGTTTGATATATTTATTTATATTTGTCTATTTGGTCTATTTCTTCCATGTTGGTGAGACCCCCCCACCTCATGAAAATGGGAATCGGTACAGTGATGATCTTGTTTCTAGGATATTAAAGCACAAACCCTATGCCTCTACCCAGGCCATTAACTGTTACTCGTCTCGGTCTTTGTTAGGCAGAGTATTTATAACTCGTATGGTCGGTTCAGTAAGATAATGCCCAATGTATTGAACAACTACTTCGGCTCTGTTGAATCTTGATTGAAATCTTACTTGGTTTGTAACTGTGCTGTGTTAGATAATGTTGCAGTGGTGTGTCGGGGATTTCCTCCACAATGCTGACATTTCCTCTCTCTCCTTCTGGAACCTGTAAGCTTATTTCTCATGCACATGGGTATCCAAGCCAAATGTAAGTGCATTTCTGATTTCTGTCGTTTAATCAAAATAAGTGGTTCATACTTGGTTGAACTCTTGTACCAACCTGCAGATCCTGATGTTGCCGCTGCTGTGTTGTGGTCACTGTACATCTTCTGCATTGTTCTTTCTATTTTCTTGCAAGTTTTGCAGCTTCACCCGCAATATCATTCCCTTCTATGCCTTCATGACTTGGCACCCGGCTTATAAGTATTCGAGATCTTAGCGTTTGATTGGTTGCATTAATGCAATAATATTTGTTGTCAGATGGATGATGTTGCACAAGTGTTTTGGCTGCAATGTTTCACTGACAATTCTCGAATCTGCATGTATGATATGTGTTCAGCAATAGCACATTCCAAAGCCTTATCAATGTGTAATAATTCCATTTGTAAAGATGAGGACCAGTTTGAGTCTCCAACTCTAGGATTTCCTACCTTAACAGGAACTATCAGGTCCATTTTTTATCACAATGAAATGTGTCAAGTAAAACATGTGTATGGGGCAAGTAACGAAGTCAGTAGACTAACAGACGTTGTCACAGCTCGAATAAAACTTGGCTACAAGTATCTCTGGCAATTGGGCTTGTATAGGGCTCTAGATGAAGTAAAGTGTGAAGTGTGTGGACAAAGACAGGGACACACTTGAGCATTATATCTTGGACTGTAGTAAAATTGAGCCATTTAGAGATAAATCTAAACTCACGTTGTATGAAATGGCAAACCCTCTTATTACTAAGGATAAAATACCTGAAATCCTTGCACTGTATCCATACTTCGTTTCCGGTAGATAAACGACTTATGAGATTAAGAGACGAGTAGTATATTGTGAAGACTAATAATAAACTTAGCAGCTCCCCCCGGTGACTAATATCTCCATTGTTCAAACAACTATGAATTAGCGATAAGACCTACCATTAATGTATAATGATTTACTGTCAATATATCGCTCTTGAAACAGAACATGCTCTGTAACTAGCCGACATTGTAATATCAGTGATTGTTGTTGTCTTGGCCACGTCCAAACAAGAACAACGGTGATGTTCTTAGGTGCCCCGTCTTCACAGTACTCTTTGTCGTATAATGCTTTATATAGCGTTATAACGTATATCGCCAGGAGATGTGACTGCCAGAGATACATTTCCTACCACCTTCTTTTACACACTTGTTGACAAACTTGAAACCGAGGTGAGGAGGAGGAGGAAAAGAAATACCAGAGATTATATTTTCTCAGTGATGTGCCACAATGTCACCTCGCCATCTACAGAAACTGGAAGGTACTCTCAGTGTTGTCAAAAGCTGATTGTGCTTACCCAGAGAACTTGAGCACCAAGTTCTCAGCTTGAAACTGGTAAAGCTGAGCTTCACCAGTTTCACTCATGTGGGCGCCAGAAGTTCAGTCCAACATAAATGTAAAAATAAGATTGTTACACTGAACTTAAGAAAATAATTGTAGAAGGCAATGTTGAAAGTACCTTTACAATGTAGACATTTGTTTGGTATATTTTAAACATTAATGTTTACAAATTGTTCAGCAGCGTTCATTATACTCCAGATGAAGTATATTAAACCCGCAGGAGACCAGCCAGGCAACACGGCGGGCTGGAGGCCTCTACCAAGCACAGCAGCACATGTAACATTAGTCTTGTGGATCTGATCAAAGACTTGGCTCTTAGAACAAGCAGGTGAAAACTCTTCAAATATGAAGTGCAACTATACAGAAATAAACATTATTTGCCATCTTACTCTAAGTTTTCTCTAATTTTCAAAACAAATATTATTTTACTTTTAACTTATCTATATTTTGAATTATATATAGTGGCACCAAAATCTTTTAAAATGCTTGGGGCCTCTAAAGGCCGTGCGGCCGTGCGTGCATGACGCTGTCAGATACTAAGTTTGCTTCTATATTCATCTGTGCAATGTTAGGTAGCAGATGGGAGCAAGTGATTCCTTTTGCCTTGAGGAACCATAAAGTCTACTTTCATAAAGTCTGCATCAATATCGTCGACACCCCTCTCAGTGACTGTATTTGTCATCTCTAAAGTACTGAGAGTCTTTATTTCACAATGCGTCCACCTGTCGCTGTTGGAAGCTCTTCCGACCCGAATTAGTGCTTCAGTTATTATATAACTGTTTCTTGATCTACTCGACATCTTGGTCAGCATGCCTAACGCAAGGCTTTTTATCCTTATTTCACCCGATTTTAGTTTGGTTTCCAGTCTTAAGCTTAGTATTTTAATCCATACGGGAGCCTATTATGACTCACATTGTATTGTTTTGAATACCCTCAACCTCTGCCCACTGGCCAGGAGAAAAAGCGAGTAAGGCAAGCGCTGCATAATCAACTGGGGAACGAGCAGTATGTACATTCTTAAGTTTAGATTCATTCTTAATTCGTTTGGAATTAATAGTGTTCCCCGCTCCTAGACGGGTCCCTGTGATTGTTCTCATTATATTCTCATCATTGAGTTGTGATTTAGTTTTCTCCTTCAGATATTGAATTTGCTTATTGAATGTCATTTTAGTCTATCCACACTCCAAGATATTGTGTAACCCACTGAAGGTTAATGTCTTGAATGTGTAGATGCCTGTCTGCAGTGTTGTCAGTCTTATTACCTTAGATTTGTGTGCAGATATTTTTAGCCCTAAAATGTTGCATTCAGATGTTACTTTATTCAACGCCCCTTGTGCTTTATTTAGAAGTGAAGGACCAGTGCCGCCTAATGCTGTATCAGCATGGCTTAGCAATTTAACCCCTTCCGCAAATGTCATGGAAACGAGGTTTTCCAAAAGGATGTTAAAATGACTAGGGTTGAGGACTCCTCCTCGTGTAGTCCCATTCTTATGCAAGTGGTAGTCTGACACTTGGCCTTGCAGCTTTACTCTGGCATCCCTGTGACTAAGGTAATCTTGAATCCAGGATTGGAGTTTACCCCCCCCCCCACACCTTACACCTTACTTGACGGACATGTAAAATTGCTTTCGGGTTTGCAAGTTCGAATGCGTTTTCTAGATCAAGGAAGATAACCAGACCCGAGTTAACTGTTCCTAGTAATGTTGTTATGCAGTTGGCAGTACCTCCTACTTTAGTGAAGCCAAATGCGTGCTTATGCACGTCTCCAGTCTTCCACAGTGGCCTATTTAATACCAACTCTGCAGTTTTATTAATGCATAATACTGATGAAACGGGTCTAATGGCCAGGTCCCGGACTCGTCAAGTATTTACGCATCTACATACGAATCTGTACACCTTACATTTGGCGGCTTTATTTACATATATTATACAGTTTACTAGCATTGAAATGTCCCATTCAAATATTATAAACAGCTTCCTGGTGCTTCGAAGCTCAAACTGTTCAATAAATGTAAACGAAGTTGCCAAAGATTGAGGAAAGATTCAGAGGCTCATAAGTAGATGTGTAAATGTTTGTTGAATCCCGTCCTAGGTCCTTAAGGCTTAGGAATCGAAATGATCTCATTTCTTCTAAGACGTCGGTAGTTTACCCAGCTGGCAAGATGCACTGATGACATCCAATATCCCTTGTACTCTAGCGGGACCTGCATGTACCATCACTGTACATGTTATTTATCAGCATCTGATGTCTTACTGCCTTTTTATTAGCTCTAATTTCTTGTTTGGTAAATGGAAAGCCACATTCGTCGTTTGTAGCTATGCCCTCATGAACGGCTGTCAATCTCTCCTGTTTTAATTGTTGCTGCTGCCTTCAAACCACTGCAGGAAGTTGATATGAAGCTCTTCTTTTTGCAAAATGAACAAAGCCTTTCGACCTTCTGCATTGGTTGAATACATGCCCAAAACGCTGCGCGTACTAGTATAAATATATATATATATATATATATATATATATATATATATATATATATATATATATATATATATATATATATATATATATATATATATATATATATATATATGCAAACAAGCCTGAATGGTCCCCAGGACTATATACAACTGAAAACTCACACCCCAGAAGTGACTCGAACCCATACTGCCAGGAGCAACGCAACTGGTATGTACAGGGACGCCTTAATCCGCTTGACCATCACGACCGGACATAAGGAAGTGATAGCCGAAGCTATTTGAACTACTTCCACTTGGTCAAGCGGATTAAGGAGTCCCTGTACATACCAGTTGCGTTGCTCCTGGCAGTATGGGTTCGAGTCACTTCTGGGGTGTGAGTTTTCAGTTGTATATAGTCCTGGGGACCATTCAGGCTTGTTTGCATTTGTGTTCCTCACGTGTGCCCCAAAGAATGAGGTGATTTGATAAAATGCTATGCCCAAGATTACCATCCGAGTGCCGGCGGGGAAGTGGTTCAAATAGCTTCGGCTATCACTTCCTTATGTCCGGTCGTGATGGTCAAGCGGATTAAGGCGTCCCTGTACATACCAGTTGCGTTGCTCCTGGCAGTATGGGTTCGAGTCACTTCTGGGGTGTGAGTTTTCAGTTGTATATAGTCCTGGGGACCATTCAGGCTTGTTTGCATATATATATATATATATATATATATATTATATATTTATATATATATAAATACATGCCTGTCTGGTGGTCTACCTGACCTGTTTATAGTCTGTCCCCATATCTTGCCAAGACTACTGTGTTTGTTTAGAGTGACACCACTCAAACCATCTTGCCACCTCCACCTCTCTAGTAACTCGTCTTGCTTCAGAGATCACCGCTCTTAGCAGAGTTCTTCCTTCTGGTGTTGAGTTTCTCTTTAGATGTTTTCTGAAAATGTTGACTGTGGTTTTGTTCTTTAACTTCTTCACTGTAGAACTAATAATTCTTTCGTTTTGCGTTTCCTAGGATTATAACTGGAAAAGCTTTGTTTGCAGCTGACGTAATGGCTTCCTGGAGATTGGGCTCATGTATATTCAAATCCTCAGGTGGCAAGTATTATCGACCCTATTTCATGTTCCTCTTGGTATATATTTTAGTTGCCCTTTTTTTTTAACTCCACCTTGGGTGTGCAGGTGGTGAAGGAGACCCTTCTATGTCCAGTGTTGTGATGGTAGCATAGTGGTCACTGGTAGTCACCGGGTCTACCTCCCACTTCGCCTGATGTTTGAGCGCAGTCGAGATCAAGTGGATCAAGAATGCCTCCTTGAATGAGTGGGTTCCCAAGTGTTTAGAAGTGCAATCTCCGGTATTCCTTGCAGAACTTCAACCCAGTCGCATCTAACTCCTGATGATGAGCACTAAAATTCCGGGTAATAATTACATTTTCCTGCGTGGCCAAGGCAAGCACTGCCTCTGCTTCTAGTTTACGTCTAGGGGGATTGTAGACGTTGTATATGAGGAGCTCAATATTAGCCATATTCACTGTTAATACCTCTACTCCATCCCCACACCAAATTTCGTAGTTATCATCGAGCGACCTTCCGACATACCCAACGAAGATACAGCCTTTTCCCCGTGGCACAAAATTTAATATAAATTCGTTTGTCATTACTCTTCAGTTCCTTTACCCTTCCTGGCCTTCACATAGTGCTTAAAACAAACCGTTACAAGTTATATAGGAAAATAATCAAAATAATAATTCTTTGGGTTTCAAACTGATATTGTTAGTTGACTTACTTGAAGCTGTAGGGGTTATAGTGGAGGTGTGAGGGAGGGTGCTTGAGGGTGAGGTAGAGGAACATGTTGGAGGAGCGCACCAGCCGCACGGCCTCTGCCAGGCTGGAGGGCGGCACCACTGGAGGCACCAGCAGGGGCGGCAGCTTCACCTCCGTGGACGCCAGGCGAGGCTTGCCCACCTCCAGTAAGGGCAAAGATGTGGTGCTGAATCCTGACGCCAGTGAAGTGCTGGAGGAGCTCCGCACTGGGGCCGAGGAGTACTCGAGTGTCGTGTGCTGGAGGTCGAGGCTGAGCAGCTCCAGTGGCACACTATCGCTAGCTGAGACTCGCGGCTCCGTCACCTGGATCGTCGGCTGGACAGGCAACACTAATTAGACATTTTCTTAAAGATATGCTTCTTAATTTTACTTTTGTTATTAAGCAATTGAAATAAAGTGCCAAATAGTTATAGCAAGAAAAAGCTAGATAAAAGAACGCCAATCAACGACTCCAGCTCTTTTTTTTTTTATTTCTAGATAATCATATTCAATATTTAAGTATAAATCTATATTTAATTACTATAATATGTACATTTTTGCAACCTTCAATTCATCTTAACCCCTGCATTGCGTACCTGTTTTTGGCAAAAATTTCATGGTGCAGTTGTTAAGGACATATTTCTGTTTTATAAATGTTCAGCTAATGTTAAAGTCAAAATGTTTCCAAACTCAATCATTTTCATCTCAAATCACAGAGAGCAATGAAAACATTAAAAAAAACTTAAAATATGGCCTAATTAACAAAAAATCACACAACCCTCAGAGCGCCTTAAGGTGCTTTGCGCAATGCCGAAACAATTTGTTATTTTTCTGCTTTGGCTGGTGAAAGGTAATTGTGAGGCGGGAGCGCTAGGCCAGTATATCAACACAGCACACGGACGGCCCAGACACCGCGCGGTGTTGAACGCACATAGTAGTGACACCCAGAAAATAGTCAGTGATATTCGAATGAATGTTTTAGCTGCTAAAGAAAACAGATTTGAAATTAAACTCCTATGGATACCATCACATGTGGGCATCTCAAGGCATGACACTATTAATATGCTTGCTAAAACAGCCTGTAGAAAACCAGTGGTAGAAATTGATATGGTTGTTTCATTAGCAGTGACAAAGAGAATACTCAAACAAATATCTAATGAAAATCTCACCCACCTAACAAATTCACAAAGACCGGAAAGTTGTAGCATTAAATATTAAGATAGATATCGTGAGGAGACATTCGCATATGGGACTAATAGAACAAGAACCCGGCAATATGATATTATATTGGCCAGAATACGTCTGGGATATAGACGTATCTGGCAGCTTTCTCAAAACCCAAATGTCGAGTACACAATGTGTCAACTTTGTGAAAGAGAAAACATGCACTCTCTTGAACATTATATTGTAGAATGTCCCATACTGACTTAAGCCCTCCTGGGCTAAGGTATGCTGAACTCTGTAACTACAATATGAATACTGGAACACTTGATGATATATTGGACTTGTACCCTAGAGTGACCATGTAATTGAGCGTGTAAAAGCATCTTAATCACCTTCAGTGGTTAAGTGCTTAATTGCACACAAGTTTCTCAATCAGCTATCTTATCCTCTCAGAGTAGGAGAGCCATAAATAAATAAACAAATAAAATAAATAAAATAAAATAAATAAATAAATAAATAAATATATATATATATATATATATATATATATATATATATATATATATATATATATATATATTTATTTATTTATTTATTTATTTATATATATATATATCAGCTATATATATATATATATATATATATATATATATATATATATATATATATATATATATATATATATATATATATATATATATATATATATATATATATATATATATATATATGTAATTACCTAAGTGTAGTTACAGGATGAGAGCTACGCTCTTGGTGTCCCGTCTCCCCAGCACTCTGTCATATAATGCTTTGAAATTACTGACGGTTTTGGCCTCAACCACCTTCTCACTTAACTTGTTCCAACCGTCTACCACCTGTTTACAAAAGTGAATTTTCGTATATTTCTCCGGCAGCTTTGTTTCGTTAGTTTAAATCTGTGACCTCCTGTTCTTGAAGTTCCGAGTCTCAGGAATCTTTCCCTATCAATTTTATCTATTCCTGTTACTATTTTGAACGTAGTGATCATATCGCCTCTTTTTCTTTTATCTTCTAGTTTTTGCATATTTAATGCCTCTAATCTCTCATCGCAGCTCTTGTCCTTCAGTTCTGGGAGCCACTTAGTGGCATGTCGTTGCACCTTTTCCAGTTTGTTGATGTGCTTCTTAAGATATGGGCACCACACAACCGCTGCATATTCCAGCTTTCGTCTAATAAAAGTCGTGAACAATTTCTTTAGTATTTCTCCATCCATGTATTTAAAAGCAATTCTAAGGCTAGAAAGTGTAGCATAGGCTCCTCGCACAATGTTCTTAATGTGGTCCTCAGGTGACATTTTTCTATCTAAAACAACCCCTAGATCCTTTTCTTTATCAGAATTCTTTAAAGATTTCTCACATAATTTATAGGTTGTGTGGGGTCTATGTTCTCCAATTCCACATTCCATAGCATGGCATTTATTCACATTAAATTCCATTTGCCAAGTGTTGCTCCATATACTTATTTTGTCCAGGTCTTCTTGAAGGGCATGACAATCATCTAAGTTTCTTATCTTCCCTATTATCTTAGCATCATCAGCAAACATGTTCATGTAATTGTGTATTCCCACTGGTAGATCGTTTATGTAGACAATGAACATTACCGGTGCAAGAACTGAACCCTGAGGTACTCCACTCGTGACATTCCCTCTGATTATGGCCCTCATTTTTCTGTCAGTTAGGAAATTTTTCATCCATGTTAGTAGCTTACCTGTCACTCCTCCAATATGTTCCAGTTTCCAGAACAACCTCTTATGGGGAACTCTGTCGAAAGCCTTTTTTAGGTCCAGATAGATGCAGTCAACCCAACCATCTCTTTCCTGTAAAATCTCTGTGGCTCGATCATAAAAAACTGAGCAAGTTCGTTACACAGGATCTTCCAGATCGAAAACCATACTGTCTGTCTGATATTATATCGTTTTCCTCCAAGTGTTCTACCCATTTAGTTTTAATTATTTTTTCCAATATTTTGACTATTACACTTGTCAATGATACAGGTCTCTAATTAAGGGGGTCTTCCCTGTTTCCACTTTTGTAGATTGGAACTATGTTAGCCTTTTTCCACACATCAGCTACAGCTCCTGTACACAGGGATGCCTGAAAAATCAGTTGAAGTGGAATGCTGAGCTCAGGTGCACATTCTCTCAGAACCCATGGTGAAACTCCATCTGGACCAACTGCTTTGTTCTTACTTAGCTCCTTGAGCATTTTTTCCACTTCGTCTCTAGACACCTCTATGTGCTCTATGTTGTTCTCTGGAATTCTTATTGTATCTGGTTCCCTAAAGATTTCATTTTGTACAAACACACTTTGGAACTTTTCGTTTAGTGTTTCACACATTTCCTTTTCATCTTCCGTGAATCTATTTCCCATTTTCAACCTCTGAATATTATCCTTTACCTGCAATTTGTTGTTTATGAATTTATAGAATAGACCTGGTTCTGTTTTACATTTGTCTGCAATCCCTTTTTCAAAATTTCTTTCTGCCTCTCTCCTCACTGCCGTGTAGTTGTTTCTCGCATCTTTGTATCGCTGGTATGTTTGGGGATTCGGCCTCTTCCTGTATTGATTCCATTTTTGTGTCTTTTGGTCTCTAGCCCTCTCGCAATTTCTATTGAACCAATCCTGTTTCCTCGTTCTGCATCTCTGTTTTGGTATACATTTTTTTGTGCCTTTATCATATATTTCACAAAACTTGACATACATCTCATTCACTTCCTTGTCTAGCATCAAGTCTGTCCAATTATACTCACTAAAAAAAATTCTAAGGTCACCATAATGTCCTCTCCTGAAGTCTGGTTTTTCAACTGCTTCAACCTCCTTATTTTCTTCCAGCTTATAACGCATTGCATACTTTATTCCCAAAAAGACATGGTCACTTTTACCCAAGGGAGGAAGGTACTGAATGTCAAATATCTCTTCCTCCTTCCTGGTAAGTATCAAATCTAGCATGGAGGGAACGTCCCCTTCCCTCATACTCGTAGCTTGTTTAACATGTTGATACAAGAATGTTTCCAGGATAAGGTCTACAAGTTTACAGGTCCAAAAATCTTCTGTTTTAGCTTCATATGCTTCCCAGTCTATGGATTTCAAGTTGAAGTCACCGACTATCAACAGTCGTGATCTATCATTATCCGCTCTCGCTATAATCTCTCTCATTATTGTTATAAGACCTTCACGTTTACTATCTAGCTCCTCCTTTGACCATGTGCTGCTTGGCGGTGGACTATATGCATTTATTATCATTAGTTTATCATCCTCATGGCAGATCTCTAGTGCTACTATGTCAACTTCTTGTGGATTGGCAGTCATTATTTCGTTCACCTTTAGGTGTTCTTTTACCAGCACAGCAACGCCACCGCCTTTCCTAATTTTTCTGTCCCGTCTCCAAATTGAGTAGCCCCTTGGGAATATGACCTCATTTAAAATTACATCTTCAAGTTTTGTCTCCGTGAGTGCAACAATGTCTGGTGTCTGCAGCTGTATTACATCACTTAACTCCAGTATCTTTGATCTCACTCCATCTATGTTGGTGTATGCAATCTCCAGGAACTTGTTCCCCCTCTCCTTATTCTTCCCTCCCCCTCTCTATTGATTTTGTTGGTTTGCCTTTATGTACCACTTTACTGGTTTGCCTACCCCTATCACTTTGTAGAAAAAAAGAATTGATTTCTTCTTCATTCTTGCTCTCATTTAAATGTTTTGCCTCGGCGTGGTTCAGTTTCAGCTTCTCTCTATCTACTTTTGAAAGATCTCGTCTTAACGACCACCCTTTCCCATCCTCATCACTTTGCAATTTTCTAGCATTCCTTAGTACTTCTTCCATCTGTTTGGCACCGTTTAGGGTGATCCTCAAAGGTTGATCTTTCCCTTTTACGTACCTGCCTATTCTCCTGTAGTCGCACACATTCTCTATGGTTGTAAGACCTTCTACGAGGCCAACAATTTTATCTACTACTTTAGCTTCTTCTACAGCTCTTTCTGACCTAGATGTTATTGACTTTTCTTTGCAGCCAAAAATGATCAGGGACTTGCTCCCATCAACTGTGTTTTGCACCAATTTCGGGTTAGATGCCAATTCTTTCCTCACTTCTAGCCTAATGTTTGTTTTATCTTGGTTGCTGCAGTGTTTGACTT